TGTGATGTACTACCGGTTGTCCGAGGCTCGGCAATAAAGTCCGAGGCTCGGGAATGATAGGGCTACCGGACCTCGGACTTGATAGTTGAGCGAGGTACTGGTGGCTTAAAAGAAAAAGTTATTTTGTGAATAGAGGAAGAAATCATCCAAAAGAAAAATAATGCGAATACTGGGACCTCCTGTAGAGGTCCCTGGAAAATATGTAACCTCGCAGCTATTAGGGCGGCCGCTGACATTTACGTACCAAAAAGCATGACAACGCAAAATTCGGACCCTCTGTGACCCAAAACAAAATTACCCAATATTTGCGATTTTACTATTATAATTTATATGTGCTAGTGGGAGTACAATGCCCTCATTCCGTCCCGTACTCCAGCCAGTGGTTTTGGTCTACTTATTATCTCCATCTGGGATCTCCTCATTTGGATGCCAATCTTTTTCTGAGCTCCCGCGGGTGTAATACGAATGTACTTACGAATATGCACCCACAGAAAAGGGAACAAAGAGAGAGAGAAAGAGAGAGAGAGAGAGAGAGAGAGAGAGAGAGAGAGAGAGAGAGAATGGACAGACTTGTGGGTGATGATGGAAATGAGAAGCGGGACAAGCTCAGGGTTAGTAGTAGTGAAGATGTTGTGACCTCTGACGCGGAAAATAATAAGTTCCTGCAGAAGAAGTAGAAAGTAATTAAAAAATGGAACAGGCACGGGAAAAAAAAAACTATTTAGCAGCTTCTTCTTTGATTTCATTCGAACAAATAAAGATTTGATCACGTAGAACAGACGAGAAAGTAACGCACCGCAGCCACACCACGGCTGCGGTCTTCACCCCAAAACGATGCCCGTCATTGTACCTCTATTTGGGCAACTTTCAGTCTAGACACAGCGATAATGGCAGGGTGTTCTACACGGGTGGTGAACCCAATAGAACTAACAACAGCAAGAGAGTCTGAGAAGAGATTCCGAGGCAGAAAGCAACGAACTTACGTCAGTGATTCCAGTCCAGACGCCGTCCAGATGCCGTCCAGATGCCGTCCAGATGCCGTCCAGATGCCTTTCTAAGACTTAGCGGTACTAGTCTGTGTCCACTCTCGTCCTCCAGTTTGTGCCTACACCGCGCCACTGCACAATACCGTTTCTGTTCGCAACCCTTGTCATCAGAGAAGATGCTACGGAGTTCCCCACTGCTCTTTCACTGCATTTGTATCACTCACCACCTCTATCCATCCATCCAATGCATCCATACACTCCTCCATCCATCTACTATTAAACAGTAGTCGCACTTGTCTCAACCGTTGCAGAACTCTTTCCTCTCTAGCTATGGCGATGGGGATGGTGATGGGGATGGCGATGGGGATGGCGATGGGGATGGCTATGGCGATGGGGATGGCGATGGGGATGGCGATGGGGATGGCGATGGGGATGGGGATGGCGATGGGGATGGC